GGGGGGGTGGGGGGGGCACGTACAAGGAGTTATCTGCTTAAAACAGAGAGCTAATTTCCACGTAACTTCAGTGAAAGTTATTATGGAACATTACAGCCAATATGGACAAGTAATATTTTTAAGCAAACACTAAAAAGGATTTTACAAACTTCTAAGCTTTTTTGCAAATGCAATAGTCACTTATGATGCAAGTTTGCATATTTATTTAACAAAATAATTTAGAAATACTAACATCAGTTGAACAGATTTGGGTTGGATTTGATTCTCCTGCAATAACCACAACCCAAAAGATTTACTATTTTATAGTTTATAACCCAGAAGACTTACAATACAATAAAAATTTCAGGACTAACTGTGAAAGGATTTCTTTTAAATATAGCATTCATTAGTCAAAACTTGTATGTATTTAAATAGGATTAAGTTTTTTGAAAGTGTCTTATATTTTAATCCCATCACAACAATCTTTAAATGTACTAAACAGTATGTTTTTAGAACCCAGCTAATCACTAAAAATCACATCAGCTTACACAGAGAGTATTCATACTTAAGTTCAATTTATTATGCTCCCTGTATCACACACATTTCTTCACCAGCAAGAGGTGAACAAAATTACATGAGATCAAAAAAGAAAAATGAATTGAAAGTCAGGAGTTTCACCTCCTGCTGCACACACAATCTTGCAACCAGACTTGACAGCAACAGAGTTTCTCTGACAAACAGTACAAGGCATCACCAGCAAAATTGAAGAGTCTCCCTCCACACTGCTTTACTTGGGATAAGCAGCACAGTCAAAAGCACTGTCAGTTTAACGATTTTCCTGTACGTACAGTTAATCTGTTACAGGGTCTTTACACAGCAATAGTGAAGAGAAAGTCTAAGTACAAACATTTAATTTACCTTAAAAATGTGCAGTAGTGACCTCAGTCACTTCTTGATTGAGGACAACATATGTTATAATTTATACATCGTTAAGGAGCAACAATTATTTGATTTTATTTCAACTAAGTTTAAGAGTTGATTTCAAAGTTACTGAAGTAACTGAAATATTTCCATTGACTTCACATTAGTTTGATATTTTCAAAATAAAAAGATTTAGCTACTTAAGAAAAAAATGGAAATAACCATCATAATTTAAGTTTTAAATAGACAAACTTTTATGTGTCCAGAAAGAAACAGAAAGGGAATAAAGCACTGCATAAAAATACGTTCAAGAAATAAAGGACTCAAGAACCCACCTACAAACATTACTTCGAAACAGGAAGTCCAAACTAAGATTATCCTAACATTTCTTGAATGGCATTTTACCCCCACAGGTCCTTTGCCTCACTGAATGCACAAAATGTTGCTCACTGAATAAAGACCTAATTTATTGTTATTGATATCTTTTCCATCCACTCAACTTTCTGATGCTTGCACTACTGGAAGTATTTCAACAACCTGTCAATTCTTTGTGAGGGCTAGCACTAGTAGAGGGTGAAACAGCTAGTTTAACAGATGTCTGCACACATACAACAGACTCTCCAGCTGACAACGTATTCCAGGAATATAATTACACTACACCAACATGGTTCTCAACCTATTTCTAGGCAGGCATCATTGAGGGAAAAAAAGACCATGCTGCTTGTCTTACCTAGGCCCAGCTCCCTCCCTCTTCTACTGCCAGACTAAGAACTGTAACAGGCTCCTTGGATCAGCAGCATAAAGAATTGCTGCCAGCTGCTCCTCACTCATGCCAGAAATGCACTAAAACACTCAAGAGGACCCAGCTGATTCTGTCCAATGTCAGTTATTTAACAGTCTCATTTGGGTATCTCTAGCTCATGCTCCTACATCAAGCAGAGAGCACTTGCGTAGGCTCCACATAACACCTCAGCCGTCATTCCTAAAACAGTACCGTAGAAAGTTTACTTACTTGAGCTGAACAACCCTTGTTCATTCCCTCCCCAAACTTAAAGACCATTTATTCCTCCAGTTTTTCCAACTCAAATTTTCTCTATCCCTCCACAAGTGCTTTCTCCAGTTGTAACTCCAAAGTTCTCACTTGTCAGGCTTTTCATCCACCCAAACCTAGCAACCTCTCCCCGATATGACGCACTCCCAAAGCAAGCGCATACCTCTTAACCCTTCTGCCTACTTCCTTATTCCATTCTTCCTGCTTAGCCAGTCCAAGCCTCCCATTCTTGCTCCCTCTAATCACTCCTCTGGTACGTCTCTCCTCCCATTGATATTCCAGGTGGTAAGGGGTGGGGAGCAGAAGAGTTTGCCTGCATTCAGGACCACCTTCAAGCTACAGCTGAATATACAGGAATAGTAATGTCCAATACCAGACCCCAGGACATGCCCACTCTAACACTTGAAATGCCTACTGGCTGTTCATATTCCCAAACACGAAAGCACACACTTAGCTGGTATTTTTCAAAAGCCCATCACACAGACAAATAGGGATGAATTTTCACAAAGTGAATAAAAACCTTGGTATCAGCTCGCTCTCTGCTCTAACCCAAGGCAGGAGAACACTGAAAGTAGTCTATTTAGAGGACATCAGGCTGTGTGAGATTTGGTTTGGATAGAGGTTTTTCATTGTTGTTAGATAGACAATAGTATTTTCAACGCCTCTGCTTCTCACATATTCTTGGAAACAGGTGAATCCTTTCAGTTGAAGTTGTCCAAAGAGATTCACAAAGAACAGACCTTCTCACATGAAGAATTTAACAAAACAGAGTTCGGGTGCTTAACAGAAAATGTAAGCCATCTAAATAAGTGCAACTATATATCCTTCTTATAAGGAAGATGTAGGAGGGAAGAAACTGCATAATGAAGAAGAGAAAAAACACAACAGAGCTGTAACCTAAACCACAAGTAGGTTATTAAGAGTAATGACTATCTAGGTACTATAGTCCAACTGCACCTACAGGAAGCTTCCACTCACTGTTACCTGTTCCATTGAAAACCTATTTTGAGTGGCAAGTATTTCCAAATGCTGGTCCACTTATTGACAGCTGTGCAGTAGCTTGGGAGGGGGTAAAGGCCTTTCCCTGAAGTAGCAGTAACCATCATCACCTCTGCCAGACATAAAGCTTTATGTAGAAACAGTAGCCAATACCTCACCCGCACTTCCCTAACAGGAGCAACCTCTTCTAGGGGGTTGTTCCTGCTAGGGGGAAGGTGGCTCAGGGCTGCTGCTGCTGACAACAGGGCACATGAGGTATTAAACACCTAAACTTCAATCTAGCCCTTTGGTTAGCCACCCTAAACTATGCAGGTTAAGTCTGCAACACCAGTCAGACTCTCAGTAAGCTCCTAGCTCAAAAGAAACCCATATATTCTGCTGCTAGACTTGGCACAGAGCACGAGAGAATGGGGCTATGCACTCAGCTACCATCTTGTTTCTTCAAAGAGTACTGAAACAGAATCAGGACAATGATTCTGCTACTGCTACTCTGACATGCACACCTATACTTTCAAGCCAATGACTGGTGACTTTTATAAGCTAAAGGAGGTTTTGGTGTGTGTTTTATCTTTTTAAAAGAAGGGTACAAATTAAAACAGCAACTAAGACCAAGTCTATCGCACCTTATTTTAAAACAGAGCTAGTGTATTTTAACTAAGCATTTTACACATCAGTAATCAGAAAACTCACTTATGTCTTTGTCAACTAATACCATTTGAATACGGTATGGTACTTTTAAGTGTTTATCCATTTAAATTTGCAAGACCTGAAAGTATTAAGTTTCCAAGTATAAAACGTCCCCAAAATACACTAAGAGTAATATGAACAATAACTATTACATGGCAAATATTAATCTCAAGTTTTCAAGAAACTTGACACCATAGATGTTCAGTATTTCTAATTAGGATGTGACAGAAAACTAATATTGAAGGCTTACACATAAATAACTGTCACTGGTACATTTTACATGTACATATGGATTATAAAAACATTGTTAACTATGCTAAAAATAAAGAAAAGTTATTTTATGGACTAAAAAATCAGACATGTCAAATAACTTGTCATGGTGAATAATTTTTGTTCATTTATGAAATGATTTAGCAACCTATAGCTTAGCTTTGCATCTCATCAAACATGATTTATTTTGCTACTGTTACTTTACTGGAAAAAATACCATCTAGTAATACAAAGCCAAGTAGTCCTCCAGAACTTCTTGAAACTACATGCATTTAAACTTGGAAACACTTTAAGGTGCCAATGTGTCCATTACAGCTTTTACCCCCGCTTCTTCAAGGATGCATCTTCCTACCTCCATGCATTATGGAGGTGATTACATCCTTGATGTTATTCATGTGTCAAAACCTGGGAAAATATAAGCCACTTGGCCGGG